ATTTTGTCTATAACTACCCCACCCACATAGACTATATAGAATGTTTCGTTTTCAGCCAAATGCCATTTTGTAGCTCTCCTCATGGTAGAGAAGAATTTTAGATTTATGTTGCGGTCAAGACCATCGATCCTTTGTAACAATTCGGTATTAGCGCCCAGGTTTCGCCGTGGTCTTTTGATAGTAGTGATACGGTTTTTCATTCTTCGAGTATTTAGGTATAATACTAGTGATTTGACTAGCATGAACGCGATGAGCACGAAAAAATCTGAATTATTTGAGAACATTTTTGCGTATTTTCACGGTTGGATGTAATATAATTTGTGATTTCGCACTAACGAGTTATTAGATTTGCGTGCGTTTACGTTGTATTGTAAATTGTTCTAAGGACGAACCTGTGGATATACATGTATTTTGCGAAATTGACGTGTTTTATAGAGTTCATGGTGGCACTTGAGCTACGGATGAATGAAAGCGAGGACGAATTAATAGCTAGCTCATTTCTGTGTATAACCGAATTCGTTGAAAAATCAATGAAACGTAATATAACAGGTCGACGTGAGCAAAATGTTATTGTTGATACTTTTGCTCAACAGCAAAAACGTCAAAAAGAAAAAAAGACATAAAAAATAATCTAACGCTAAGAAAATTAATCATGTACATGTAAATAGAATAAGTTTAACGTTTATTAAGAACATTAATTATATAAATAGTAATAAGATATTCTATTGCTGTTAAAATTTAAAGCATATTGATATTAGTGTTATTAATAAATCATATAAAAAATTATTATATCTTTTAAAACTTCAAGATATTTATTCTTGAATTAACAGTATAGTTATTTATTATTACACTTGGTTATATTTTTTGGAAATAAAAAGAGTGCTCAAGACTATATATATGTATCGGTATGTATTAATCTCTATAATATAATCATTTCTGAATTGATTTTCATTAAAAAAAACTTAACGTTAACCTAGCATAATTATATAAAATATTATTGCTAATATTGTGAATTCACTTATCGTTAATGGTGTTTGCCATTCCTCGCTATCTTTTTTTATGCAAAAATGGAAGATTTTTTAAATTGGTCAAATTTCGTTATAATACAATAACGTTATAATTATAAAAGAAATAATAAATTTTATTGTTAATAGAATTGATGAGTTATTTTTTACTAATTTCAAACAAAAAAAAGGCAAAAAATTGATTTATTTTAAAGAATATAACTTATATTATATTTGTAAAAAAAGGATATATAAAATAACAAGAAATAAAACTTATATAATAAAATCTTATTATAACAAATAAGCATCTTTTAAACTACTTATTATTATTATTATTATTATTATTATTATTATTATTATTATTATTATTATTATTATTATTATTATTATTATTATTTCTTAAAAATAATAAATAATTTAGTGATTAAAAGAAATAATACTATATATATCGGTCAGTATACATGACATGCTAAAATTGAGACAAATCCATTTATTATAGAGATGTCATATGATGATCAAATTTTTCTATAGATAAAATGCAAGAAAATTACTTTACTCTTATAATAAGTGTATTACATTTAAACTTTTGTTACAAATCTTTTATTTATTAAAAAAATATATTTTTTTTCTTAACAGACTAAAACTTTTATGAAAATCTTAATTTGAAATTTAATATTGATAATATATACGTAATCAATTTTTATAATATCGATATTACACAATTATTTTTGCATTAAAAATATGAATGTATACATATACACACATATTATTATCATTATACGTAACATGAATTTGACATTTTATACTGACTCTTCTGATAACAACGTAAATTATATATTTTTGTCAGATTCAGCTACTATAAGTAATTCAAACTCAGAGTACATTTCAGAAAGCAGATCATTATTAATAAATAAAGAATTTAATTTTGATTTTGAAGTATTTTCTTGAATGAAAGATATAGCAATACTTAAAGAAGAGTTTGACTTAGAGAATATTGACTATACTAATTTTCAAACTGAAATTGAAAGTTTAATGAGTATTCATTCTGAACAAGAAATTGATATAATAATTCCAAATTTATAACAACTGAAACACAATTAACTTCTTGAATAAAATAAAATAATATAATAATAATAGTATTAAAAGATTAGGACAATTATTCAGAATCTGGAAAATTAATAAAGCAATATTCAATACAAAAAATTCTCAAAAAGAGCTTTAAATATTGGATATATATAGCAAATACTTTAATATAAATCAAAATTATTTACATAATTCAGGTATAAAAAAAATACAATTAATAACTGAAAGTATTATTCATAATTATCAGTATCTTTTTTGTAATAAAAACAAGTGTTTTTTTTATCTGGGATCCAAATTGTAATGAATATTTATAGAATATTTGTGATCAAAATATTCAAATTTCATGTATTACTTTTCAAATTTGTAATCTATTCAATATCCAATTCCAAATTACTTTTATATTACAAACAAATAATCAAGTTTATTATATTTATATGAATTATTTTCAAAAAAAATGGTGAACACTTATATCAGCCAAAGGATACTGGAAGAGGTTATATATTACTATCATGTGAAAGTCAAGAAAAATATGAGGATGATACTAAATCATGAAATGATTGTACAATGGATTTCAAGCATTACTATATCAAAAAATGAAATAATTAAAAAATTTATTAGTATTATTATTATCTATATTGAAGTTATGTAAACAAAAAATCTAAATACAAATATCCAATTATCATCTTTATTTTTTGTAAAAACAATTATGTAAATTGAAAGTTTGATGAAGATATTGTTAAAAAGAAAACAAATTTAATATTAGAAAAATGTACTGAATTTAATGAAAAACTAGATCTTTCATTGTGGCATTCTTGATCAGAGTTAAGACAAAATTTGAGTATCTTAGAAAGATCTGATTCTTTTGATAAATATTGCAATGCATTTTTTCTTGTCTGTTCAATTTTTCACTAGCTTATTTATAGTTATTGAAAAGAAAAAATATATGATTTTACAAAAAAACAAAGGCAATGTGAATATCAACTTAAATCTTATAATATTTTAAAAATTTCAAAAATAACAGTCTTTTTTATATTAATTATTCTTAATATTACTTTTTGTGGATGGAAAATTTGGCTTACTACTATGATGACTTCACTTTGTAAAAAATCTAAACTTTTATCATTATTACAATCAATTTTAAGAATGATTTATATTATATCTCATTCACAACATTATGAACAATATCTTGAAAAACAATGAATGCAAGCAATATATCTGGAACAAAGATTAATTCAGAGAATAAATATATGAAATCTTGCAGTAATTGACAATATTGATTTTAAAAAAAATTTTGCATATGGCAATATTTTTGATGTTGTACAAAAAAATTTACATATTATATTAAGAATGATATTTCAATTTTAAGCTTGCAACTTATAATATTACAGAAAATTCAGATAAAATAATAACAAAATGAGCTTTATTTGGTACTTCTGCTTTTACAAATAATTTTGAACAAAAAAATTGATAATATTTTTCGTAAACTTCTTGATTCAGCTATTAAATTCGATTTATAAAATATAAATCAAGAAATTATAAAAGAAATTAAACTTGGATGCCAAATTGCATCACTAAATATTGTTATTCTTAAGACTAGATCTGCACCAAATTCTAATACAAATATTCATAATGCTTGTAAACAATATTTTAATGATGTTAAATTTACAAATAGATTTTTAGATATAACATGTAATGGTATTATATTTCAAAAACTTATTTCTTTACATAAAATATATCCAGAAATATGAATATTTCTTGGTCAATGACATACAAATAAAGATATGTGTGCAGCATTAATTGTAATTTTTTCTGAATATGGAATTTTTATATTAGCTGCTGAACTTGATATTAAATTTTTAGATAAATTAGAAGTTGTAATTGATTATTGTGCCATATATCATGTTCTTGAATTACTTTGGGCTGCTGTAAAAATTTCTATTTATATATATTGCAAGCAGAATAATGAATTAGTTGAGAATATACTTAAAGAGGAAAATAATATATTAAAAGTTTGGTTTTTATATTATTGATGAGCAGGATTTTGGAGAGGATATAAAATTGGAATTCGTACAGGAAATTTTGATATGTAATTTGAAAATCTCACTGCTTTTGCATCTCTTTTTCCTGTTGCAGGAAAGGTAAATTATGCAAGTTTAGTAATTTATTTTCTTGCCTATATTAATGATGATTCTTCTTTAAAGACAATTCTTCAGCAAGTTTGTTCTGTTAATTTAACAAAAAAAAGGTCATTATATTGCTTTTGATAAAGTATTAGAGACTCTTGGTGTAAAATTTATTAAGCAAAACATTGAAGGAAATCCAATAGATCAAGAAAATTTATTACTTCAAATACAATCTGCTCAAACAGAATGAGAAAGATTAGATATGCTACTTTTAGAATTTCTTGGTGATTCTATTTATAGTAAAGGAAATTGTAAAATTAATAATCAAAAAGAAGCTTTATGGTCATTGGCAATGCAACTTGTTGAAGCATTTTCATTAAAAGATCCTATAACACATACACTTTTTAAATATAGTCATGAAATGACTATGTCTGGTTATCAAAAAATATTTACTTGTTATGAAACTGGAATTATCCATCTTATTTCAATTTTAAAAGAAGATGTTTATATAACAAAAACACAAAATACAACTGGAAGATGAACACCAACTCTTCAACGTTATAAATATTCGAGTTTATCAGCTTTTATTAAACAAGAAAAAAAATAAAACAAAGAAAATTCATTTGAATTAAAACACAAGAGATGCATAACAACAGAATCAGAAAAAGCAATATTGATGCAAATATTTGCATCTGAACAACAAAACATTTTATTTAATGAAACGATTAAAAAGGTAATGAAAGAACTAGACTGGAATGAAAATAGAATTAAAATATACTGGAAAAATCATTACCAAAAACCCAAGTAGAAATATGCAATAATAAAAACAAAAATAATAACAATAACGAAAATTATAATTTGATATTAATGTTTTTAGAATTTAATTTTTAATTTTAATTTTTATATTATTAAAATTATTCAAATTTTATTTTTATTTTTAATAGTCTGAAAATAAACTATTATATATTTTGATTCTTAATATTTATGCTTTTGGATTATTTGATATAATTAAAATAAGTAACTATTAAACACGTAAATAATAGACTAATTATGTTTTCACAAAATAAATAAATT